TATTAGACAGTTTCAATTCTTCTCAATTTTACAACGGCTAGGGTTTCACAATTATCTAGTTTCTCTCTAAGATGTTTTTTTTTTTTTTGAGGAGCAGGGGAAAAATCTTGCATAAGACACCGTTGGGTAGTGTCGGATTCCTACCGACTAAAACCCTCCTCGCATTCCATCGCTCTATCCAGCTGGAAACCGCTTGCGCAGCTCTTCAGCTGGGAGGCTGTCTATGCGGTTAGGCCCCGCATTCTATTTCCTTTGGTTTTCCATGATGTTTCACCACTTAGTAGCCCTTGCATCATATTTTGGCATTAAAGACTTGTCCACCACTGTCCCGTTGGAATGACTCTCTAAACTGCTTCCATTCACTGCAGAGGAATAGTGTGTGTTCGACACTGTCAACTTCCTTGCAATACATACACAAATTTGAGGTGGATCTCTCCCTTTTATGCAAATAGTTGTTAAAGCATCCGTGCCCTGTCAATGCCTGAGTTAGGAAATAGTCCGTCTCTCCAAAGCTTCTGTCTAACCAGATATTAATGTCTGGTATGAGATCATGTGTCCATCTACCATATCTATCTAGATCCCACTTCTTTTGCCATTCAATCATCAGTATGCTTCTTGCCTCCAGTTTTGATGTCCCTTTGTATCTGTCTCTTCTCTCCTCTACAAGTAGGTGAATAGGCGGCACCCCGGATATGACATTTAATGCTTCAGCGCAGCTTGCGCGGTTGTTATATGCACTGCAGATCTTGAGGTTAGAATTACGGTGTAAATATTTATTTAATTAAATATGAGATACCGTACGGAAGCACACAAGTAAAATTTTTGACAGTTAGCATATAAAAGCGAAAACGCAACGCCAGGCTAGGATTCTACGTTTGGAAGCAAGTGGCCCTCCTATATTAGGCATCAGCCTACCCAGTGCGGTCAAAGTTCGTTTCGCCTTTCGTATAACTTGATTTATATGCTCGCCGAATGTAAGCTTTGAATCAAGCCAAACTCCAAGATATCTTATTGCATTCTTTGGTGAAATTGTTGTACCGAGAAGCTCAAATGATATATGAGAGAGTTTCCTCTTGGTAGTTAATAAAACCGCTTCAGTTTTGTTAGCTAGTAGTAGCTGCTAGTTTTAAACCTTTGCGCTCGATCCAGTTGGCCACTCTTTGTAGCCCTGCATTAGCAACACTCATGAGTGTCTTTTCGTTTTTGGCCGTTACCACCATCGCTACGTCATCGGCAAAGCCGATTAGTGTTACTCCTTCGGGCATTGCCGTTTCCAGTAGGTCGTTGTACTGGATATTCCATAGTGTTGGGCCAAGTACTGACCCCTGTGGCACTCCACTGGTTACGTTAATCTGCATTTTAGCAGTATCGTCTTCAATTAAAATTGTCCTTTCAGAGAGATAAGATGCCACCATGTTAGTCAGAGACGAACTTATACCCCATTTTTGCATTTCGTTCAGAATGATCTGCCACGAAGCACTGTTGAACGCATTTTGCACATCTAGAGTAATTACTGCGCATAATTTTCTATTATTTGGTGCATAATCTGCTGCTTGTCTGGCAATAAGAAGTACATGTTCGATCGCATGTATTGTTTGTCTACCTTTTCGAAAACCATATTGGCGCGCTGAAAGAGTTCCTATTCGGTCGAGTTCTTCATTTAGTCTAATAAGGATAAGGTGTTCATATAGTTTTCCTTCTATATCTAAAAGACATATCGGTCGGTATGCCGCTGATCCGTCTTCTGAGTTAGAGTTTTTAGGAATCAGTACCAGTGCGGCTTTCTTCCACTCGGGAGGAAAGAGCAAGTCTCTTGCTAGGCGATTATAAACCTTCAAAATATACTCTGGTTTTTTGTCTATTAATTGCTTAAGTATTTCGACAGGCACGTTTCCAGGTCCAGGGGCTTTTCCGTTTTTAATTTATCACAGGCTTGTTTCAATTCATTTACACTAAAATCTACAAAACTATCTCTAATATTACAGTTAAATATCACGTTTGGATGAACAGGGAATAGCTTTTTAGCTTCCTCTGCCATTGCTTCAACGCTCAGCTTTGATTTAGAAGGAAACCCATTTATGCACTTCATAGCAATTTTGTACCCGTTTCCAAAAATATCACAGTTTATTGTGTCACATAATGCTTTCCACTTCTGTCTTTTCGCCTCTTTTATGGAGTCTCTGAGTATCTTCTTAGTTTCCAGATATTCCTCCCACAGCCTATTACGTATAATCAGATCGGCAGAGCACTGCCTAGTATAAGCGCGTCTTCTCTTAATACAGGTAGTGCGGAGATTGGCGATTTCTTCGCTCCACCAGTAAGCAGGAGGACCTCTCTTACAGGGTTTTTTTCTTTGGCATCGATTTGTCACAAGTTTTATTTAAGTTAAAAGAGAAACCTTTTAACGTGGTGGCATTGGCACTCAGATCTATATCATTCATGGCTTCTTGTAATTTATTTTGGTCTATTTTCCTATGCTGCCATTTTTTATAAATGTCATTACGATTTTTTATGGTTTGAGTGCTCTCAATTTCAAACAATACGTAATTATGATCGCTGAGAGTTTCCCTTTCACTGACTTCCCAGTTTTTAATATTGACGTTTTCTGTAGAAATTGTCAGATCCAAGATTGAGTGATATGACTGCCGCTGAAAAGTAGGATTTTCGCCTTTGTTTGCGATAATCAGGCCGTTAGCTGCTATCCATTCACTTATACATGACCTCTCTTGTCTGTAAAGGACATACCCCACTGGGGCGACTTTGCATTGAAGTCAGCTCCAATTATTACAGGCTGGGTGCTTGCCTGAAAGACATTCTCGATTTCAAATAGCGATTGCTCTAGGTTAGCTATACTTGTGTTTCCCGTCAGATAACAGCTAATTACTACCATCATGTTGGTAACAATGTATGAGAATCCGTTGCCTTGCCCTGTCTTTTTTATTGTTAACTTTTTATCGAGTACTTTTATTGCTGTGTCTAACTTATTCTAAGATGTTGCGCACACATATTTATATAGACTTTTTTGTAAATTTCTGTGGCGTAAATGCGTACTTGAAGTATTGACATTTCCCTATAAATCACCCGGTATATACCTAGGATACTAAAATCGTAAAGAAAAATTAATTTTTCATATAAAGGATGCGGAAAATAATATCTTGTTACTTTATAACAACTGAAACATAAAACAAAAAATTAAAAATATTTATTTTTGTAACATTTAGATATTATATGGTCTATATTTTAATTTGTGGAATAAATTTTTCTTATTTTTAGTAAATTTAAAAAAAAGAACATATCTTATCCAAGAATATTCCTTTTCAAGACGAATTTAAGAATGATACAAAATGAGGCTATATAGGGGACAACAGAGAAGCAAAGAGTTACAAAACAATATTACTGCAAGATACTTTCCCCCATCAAAGTCTTAGACGACAATGGTCAGGATTAGATGTAAGAGGCTTAAACTTAAAAAAATAAAAAGTCGTCTTACACAATGGAACGATTTAGTTCCTGAACGGTAGTTGGTATTATTTCAGGTTATTTGTTGCAAGGTTATTTTGAAGATATTGTATTGTGTTTTTAAAATAAAACCCATTTAAAAATTGTCGTTTAACTTTTTGAAATCGTTTTGTCGTACTTCAAATTATTTGTTTTATGTTACATACAGGGTGTATTAAAATAGTGCACCAAATTTCACTGAGTACTATGTATGCAGAAACTTCTATGTATAGGGGAAAGCCTCCTAAGTTGGACCGCATCCTAAATTGAACCACCACTTTTATTTTTATATTAACGGACTAAAGCGGCCTCTGTTGACCGATATTTGTAGCTTACATCTTATTTAGCACCAGTAAGGAGGCGCCCGTTAGTAGTTTTCTTATTAACCACAGAGTCGTATGTTTCATGTTTTTGCTCCGGTACTGGTAAGTTTATATTCCATTTTTAATGGACATACAGTTTAAGCAGGCTATTAGCTATTGTTTAGACATATAATTTAACAGATAGTTGTAATAACACCTTTTTGAAGTTATAAATATTATTCAAGGTTATAGTTTCCTAAATTGAACTGTTTGAAGGTTCTTATATCGGACCGGTCCAAATTAAACAACTGTGTTTTATTTCAAGTTAATATGACAGAATGTGCAAAATATGGGAAATGGAGTGAACAAAATATGAATGAAGCGTTAATCGCATTTCAGAATGGTGCTGCTGGGTTAAATGAAATAGCTAGGAGATATAAGGTACCAAAGGCAACGCTGAAACGAAGAATTGATGATACGAATAAGAATGTTCATGGAAGCGAAAAAAAATTTGGTCGTGCTGCAGATCTTCCACCAGAATTAGAGGAGGAGATAGTTACACATGTTCTGGAGCTTGAACGGAGGCTGTTTGGAATAACCCGTAGTGATTTAAGAAAGCTGGCTTACGACGTCGCTGAAGCAAATGGGATTCGACATAGATTGAAGAATGGACAAGCCGGTAATAAGTGGTATTATTGCTTTATGTCGCGACACAAAAAGTTATCGCTTCGTCAGCCAGAACGTACTTCATCGGCCAGGGCTCTAGGATTTACCAAGGAAAAAGTTAAACTTTTTTTTTGATTGTCTTACTGCTCTTTTTGATAAGCATAACTTTGGTCCATCGGAGATATATAATGTCGACAAGACTGGTCTTTCTACAGTCCAGAGACCACAGAAAATTATTGGACGAAAGGGCAAGCATCAAATAGGATCTTTAACAAGTAGCGAACGAGGCGTAAATACCACGTGCGTTTGCTGTTTTAATGCTGCCGGAATGTTATAATTCCACCGATGTTAATTCCACCGATGTTAATTTTCAAACGCATCAGATTCAAAGATGAACTCAAAGAAGGCGCACCTCCAGGAACAACATTTGCTTGTTCGGAATCGGGATGGATAACCAGCGAATTATTTGTAAAATGGCTAAAGCATTTTATTAATTTCGTAAAACCGTCAAAAAATAAAAACGTGCTTTTAATTATGGACGGTCACACAACACACACCAAAAATCTGGAAGCCATAACTCTAGCTAGAGAGAATGGAATAATTATGATGTCATTACCAGCTCACACCACAGATGGGATGCAACCGTGTGATATTTCATTTTTTAAGCCCCTTAGCTCATATTACAACCAAGCAGCTGATAAGTGGCTTCGTGCCAATCACAGCCAATATATTACACAATTTCAAGTATCAAGACTACTTGGAGAAGCGTATGCTATAGCAGCATCGGTTGGAAACGCCGTTAGCGGCTTTGCAAAATGGCCTTTAGATCCCAATGTTTTTGACGATAGTGAGTTTGTTAGTCTTCCCAGTGATAACATGGATTGCATAAATACCCTAAAGGACCAAATAGAACCTAAAACACAAGCAGTTGCACAAGAAGTTTCTACTAGCGTCAATAGCCGCTTGGAAAGCCCATCTACCTCTACCTTGGAAGAATCAGTGGAGGCAGAATGTTCCACATCATCCCTACAAAAATTTAAATCTGTGTCCGAAATATCTCCTATGCCAGTTTTGCGCCGAAAGACACGCACAGTCACTTCTAATGGTACTGCATTACTAACCAGCACTCCATACAAGGAGAACCTTGAAGAACAACGTAAAAAGGTGGTTCGTTCTAAAACTATTCGAAGTGTATTTTCCTCCGCAAAGGGAACCACGAAAGGAAAATCATCTGCGTCAGCGCAAAAGACTCGTAAAAGGCACCGACCTTTGCTTCGGCCGCAGGAATCGTCAAGTGAATCTGACAACGAAGATAGTCTTTGCATTGTTTGTATATATCCATTTTCACAGTCCATTCCAGGGGAAGAATGGATTCGATGCACCTCATGTAAAAAATGGGCTCACTTGAAATGCACTAATGGCCGAAACAGTATTTTTTATTGGTGCATAAATTGTGAATCTGATCGCTCTGACAGTGACTAACTGATTCGTTCCATGTTATGTGTGTTATACTAATTTTTTTTTGAGATATGTTATTAAGTTTGTTGTCTACTTATATCTTTAATCACGTTAAATTTATCAAATTTAACGTTAGCGCACATTAAGATGTATTTAAAAAAATTGGCGCCGGGAGGCACGTATAGCCGCACATACTAAAATATGTTAATAAAAAGTTAGTAGGCCAACTTTAGTTGCCAATTTTAGTTTCAAAGTAAAGGAATTTTTCCAATTTTGGTCCGCGGTTATTTCCCCTATCCGCCACCTGGGGTCGCGTCCGATGGGAGTTTGGAGTTCTCCACACGGATTTTCTCAAAAACGGACTACGGAAACACGGAATATCTCAAAAACTGCTACTTTGACGGATTTTGATGTTATTACAAATTTTGTTGCAAATATTGTTCCTAATCTTAAATTGAAAACCGGGTCTCACTAGCTACTGTAATTTTGGAGTTACGATTTTTTTAAATTTCTAACATCCTCCCATACCCCATTACCAACCCCCCACCCCCACCAAAATCTAATGGCCAGATTCTCGGGTGCCACAGTATTTTTGTGCCAAATTTGGTTAAAATCGGTTTCGCGGTTTTTGAGTTATCGTGTTACAGACAGACGGACAGACAGACAGACAGACACCATGAAAATATTTTGTATTTAGGTCATTTACGACCCAAATAACTAATTTTGAGTGAAATTAAAAAAACTTTTTTTTGCCGATCTTAATAGCATTTTGATTAGAATTTTGTTCCCTGATCCCCTTTTTAGAAACATTTTTGTAGAAATATTTTTACGTGAAAATAGAGCAACTTAAAATAATAATTGACGTGTTCAAGCATTCTGTTTAATTTCTGTATTTGATATAAAGAATTTGTTCCACTTTGAAGACACACTGTATACCAAAATTGCAATATTATGTTAAAGAAATATATCGTTCCAAATTTTTATGCACAGCGAAGTGGGGTCGTTATTTTATATTAAAATAACAGAAAAAAATTATTCAAACGTCGCAAAAATTAATATTTTTTTGCGATTATATGGAACTTTTGAAATTGTTTAAAAACTTACTTCTTTACTCCTAATAAACCAATATACTATTTTCCAACAACACTAATTTTATAGTAACAGACCCGCCACGAAATAACATTTAATAATATACTCTCGTGTAAATTTAAATCAAATTTATAGAGCTTATCATGATTATGGTGCTTAAAATTATTAGTACAAGCCGGTATAAACAGGAGTTCATTAAATATCAATATATTATCGTCTGCCTTAGCCCGCCTTCGACCTTTCATCCCTCCATTTTAAAGTCCTAAGACGTTATCGAAAGAGCTAGGCCTCTCTTCGTCCCGGCGCCGATTCCCTAATCTTTAATGCGAGATGCCCGGCTCTTTCCATTGTGAAGGACGGGCACAATATGTCTGGAAAGACTTAATTCCGAACGCGGGACAGATTTGGATTTTGCGAGACGTCGTCGTTGGTTTGTTCCAGGTAGGCGGAGAGGTAAGTCGCTCGGATTACCTCGAAAGCCTAGATTGTTAAAGATTGGGGTTGAAAGGGTTTTGCTAAGTAATTCAGTATATTTATTGAAAATAAAAGTCGTAAATTAGTCTAGGTTCTTCAAGAAGAATAAAAAAAAATAATTTAAACACAGTAAAAAGGGATTTTATTCGATTAGTATCAAGTATACTTGAAAATATTTCTTCTTTTTATGTAAATAAATATAAAAATCTACTGGTTTACATATACAAAACAACAGCAAGATTAAGTATAAAGTGTATATTTTATTGGAGGGTTGGATTAACTCTCCTCCTAAACATTCTACATTCTATGGGAGGGGAGAGTTTAATCACCATGACCTTATAGATCTATTGTGTTCCCTTCCTTGAGTTACAACTCATCATATAACCTCAGGGCTTCGACAAAAGCCAGTATCTGAGACGATTTTGCAGAGGTTAGTTCTCAATCTCCAAATATCAGTGGTGCCAAAGAGAAAGGGAAATACACAATAAATCTGTAAGGTTGCGGTTACTACCCCTCCTCCTTCACATTCTAAAAATTACTAATAACCGTTTTTGGTGAAATTGTCTCCTCTTAATCCGAGCGGTTAAGTCAAGACCCCCCACATCCTATGCCTATGTGACATCACCTCAGACAATTGAGGTATTGTGCCTGGTATGACGGACATGTTAGTTCCATCCGGCATCGTTATATGTCTTGATGCAATTTTCTGGCTACGGCACTACAGCCAGGGTCAAGATTAGTGTTGGGAAAAATCGGATGATCATCCGAGGAATCCTCGGGCATAAAATTTTCTCTGTATAATATCTCGATCGAATCGTGAATACTCGCCGCTGCACAGTGCTTCGTCCCATGGACAAAAATCGAAAATAAAGTTAAAATTTACTAATATCTGAATATGTAATTTTATACTTATAGCAATGTTCAACCATCCTGTATATTATTTTTCATAAACAGCAAATATTTTCACTAAAAATAAATTTTGCGATCAATATCTTATATCAGTGAAAAGAATAGCATTCATAATAATTTTGTGTATGGAGTTAAACGGTACGTACTGAATTGAAAGCCACTATGGATATTGTTAAACAAGGTAAGTACTTTAAATTTATTTCTAAACAAGTTCGTTATTGTTTAGTTTTTATTTATTTTTAAGATGTTTCTTAAATGTGTATAAAAATTTTACGTTTTCAAACTTCAAAAAGGCATTAAAAAAAACATATCAAAACATATCGTATTTATTGAATATTTTTGTTGCCATATTCATACACTTTTAAATTTTGTATAGTTCACCTGCGTCTGCTTGCGACGAACTTTATTTTATAATACTTTTCAGATGGAGTAAAATTGATAAGCAATGCCGATCTGGTTAATACTTGGCTTGATCACAAGGACAAGAACTCAAAATTATTTGTATTTCAAAGAATGTGTTCTTTATTAGATATTGGTGAACCTTCCAGTCCAATGAGATAACCACTTGTGCCTGAGCCCACTATGTTGGCGCGAAACGTGGCATAAAACATGTTTCCATCTTTCAATTTATTATAAAACCTCATACCCAAGAAAACGAAAAAATAATATATGGATATGGTCTATTAAAGAGGTAACTATTAACATCCGAACCCCTCATACCAACAAAAAGAACAGTAACAACGCGAAAAAGTAATATGTTAGAAAATGATGTACAGAAATATCTTATATATGAGGATATTTCATCTACCTGTGATTTGGATACTATAAATTTGGAAGATTCTGTCAGCAATGATTCTTCTGAATCAGAGTAGTTACGATCTATGCATTTTGTTGTCCTAAAGTAAATTTATAGTATCTTAAGTTTTTTTTTAATTAAATATAGCATTAATGTTTCTTTTCCTACAATTAAGGTTTATATTGTAGGAATCATGTCCTAATATTATTCTAATTCTTTTTTATTACAGGTATTTATTTAATACTTACACCGTTTTCATACTATAAATTATTATTTCCTTAGATGGAACACAGCTCCAACATTTTTATTATTTATAAGAATTTTTTTTTAAACGTGGGACTAAGAACATCATCATTTAGTACAATGAGGGTACTCATCATTTGTGTCAAATAAACCTAGTTTGAATAAATTGCCTACAATAAAAGAAAAGTTTTGCATTTTTGTCCTCTAGAGCCATATGTTCGAAGCACTGTGCGCTGGGTGTGAGTGATTTTGCTTGCTGTTTGTAACACACTGTTGTCATGTACTTAAATGACTTAAATAATATTGTAATAAAAATAAATACTAATTATTTTAAACACTTTTTTAATAAATTTTGATATGTTCGTGTATAATTTCATGTGGGAAATAAAATTTTCATAAATTTTGCTTTAAATTGTGCTGATTTTGTTTCTTTAACTCCGACTTAGAGGATAATCTGGCAACTTTCAGCACACTTTCAGGCCAAATGAAACCAGTAATTCTAGGAAATGCGTACGGCTTTTTAAAAAGGGCTCGTTATTTATTGTTTATTTGTCAGCGGTCGGTCATTGAGATAAAAAATATATTTTGTTTTACTTTTTAATAGCGTACTTTCACCGAAAATAAACTGTAGTACCTAATAAATTGTAGTAGTATTGTGTTATTGTGCATATTTTAAGTTTTTGTGCGACATAATATCCAGCTTTAAAATTGAATTTACCAACTGTATTGTTTGGGCACAGCTTAACTAATAATCGAAAAAAAATTGTTAATGATGATTGTTTCGGATTTTCAACCTCTTTCTCTTGTGAACCCTCATAATAGTAAAATATTAGCTAATAAAATTTTACTTAAAGCCGAGCTTAAGGTTTACAACGAGTCAGCTGTTGCTTTAAAAACTCTTTGAAAAAAAATGAAATAAAATATACAGCAATATTGTTATTGTTCTTGTTGGCAAATTCCGCAAATCATTCACTTTATATCTACGTTCCATCACACTAAATTTCGATTATACTTTCATTAGAATATAGTCTCCCAACGTACAACTACAAGCAAAGGTTTTTTTACAAGAAAACACGTAAATTGGAAATTAAAAATGCAAATAAAGCAAAATCTCCAAAACCTTAACCCAAATAAACAACTGTGGTTTTGTCAAATGGAATTTTGAAAGAAAAAAACAACATTTTATTATTATATCAATGGTTAAAAAACTATAAATCTTAAAATATAAAGTATGGAGAAAAACTCTTTATAATTTAGGTAAATATTATAATTAATATATCTAAATATCTAAACAAAACAAAACAAAAATAAGTAATGTATTTCTGTTCAAAAATGCAAGTTACTACTCTGAAGACCGACTATAATTGCGAGCAATATGCGAGTAAGTGATTAAACGGTTATCCTATGTCCTCTATATTAATGTTTCAGCATAAATCGTAAATCGCCTATATCGTCGCGAGCAGCGAGGACGATACGCCACACCTGATGTTAGTTGCCTGCCGAGTAATCCTAG